AATCCTCATTTGTTTGTTTAAACAATATTACTGAGTATAAAATATATGTAAGAACAGTATGCTCATCCAATTTAAAGAGTAAGAGATAACTTGTTTTTAACAAGCTTATAAATTAAGAGAGACATGCAACCACATTGCCAGACAACCCACATAATATGTGTGAGAAGTCATGAGAGAGATTCAACATATGACAGGAATTAAGAGGAGAGGTGATCTCCACTGAGAGTGAGGCAGGAACAGAGAAGACTTTGAACAATCTGACCCTTGAGTTTGACATTGACAGAGGTAGATGAAAGGGTATCCTAAGCTGAGAAAAGAGCATTTGGGGAAAAGATGAAGTGGTCCGGGTTGCCAAGAGCATAATATAAGGTGGTGGAAGGTTTGGAAGACAGGGTTGAGCCAAAAAATTGATTATCTGAATACGAAGTGATAGAATTTTGAGTCAGGCAATAGAAAATGAATAAAAATTGAAGAGAGAAAATTCTTCCAAATTCAATCAAGGAAAACAAGTAGGGTTTAATGCCGAAAATGTTATTTTTCCACTTTGCAAGTAGATGTCTTGGCATTGAAGATACACATCTTCTCTTATTGGCCAATTATAAATCCACTGTCCCCTCCTCTCTTTGCATCCTACAAAGCTGTAGACAACTGTGCAGGGACTGTCACTAATCACCCAAGTGATGTGGCTGAAGGTGTGGTTGGGAGGGGCTATCATCTCCTTTTTCTTGCCAGAAATACATTCACACTAAAATTATTCTAAATCATTGCAATAACTACATGACAGGACTAGTCTCAATGATTCAGTTTACGAGTCATAGCAACTCATTTCATGATCAGTGTGTTTTTCATTGCAAATTATTGAATATTTTCATCAATAGAGAACATTCCACACAATGATACATCCATACAATGGTCTACTATGCAGGCATTGAAAATAATGATTTAGAACTATACAAATTGATTTAGAGGGATTTCCTCAAGGTGAGATAGGTGACAAATACTAATAATGACTAATTATTGAGTTCTTAGTATATGTTAGCATTTTCCAATATTATCTTATTTAAAATCCTCAACCAAATCCTATTGCTACTATCTCATTTTAAATTAAGAAACTGAGGCACAGAAAGGTTAAGAAATTTGCTCAGGGTCACACATGTAGTAAGTGGCAGAAGCAGATTTGAACACAGGCAATCTTTAGATGCCAACCTTTTAATCACCATCTGCTTAACTATATTGTTCATCCAATCTAGGGTTGGGTTTGTTAAAATTTCTATGTGGCTGGTCATCACATTTTGTTTATTTAGCACCAAATGCCACAATAATAGCATTAAATACCAGGCAACCAAATGGCTATTTACAAGGTGTTACTAATTGTTAGTGCTGGGAATGCAAAATATCTGGTTTACTTTTTCTTCCATTTGGTGTATTCTTTGGTAAAGCTGTAGAGCCATAGTGCAGCTGTTACTTTGGACAAGTGGGTTTCAAATGGTGCAATGTTAAGAAATAGCATTTTATTTTTCCTTGCTGCTGTCATTTTTGCTTTATATATTGTTTTCCCCTCTGGCTTTACCCCATTGGTTGAAATCTAGCAAGTACTATAATTTCTCTCCTAATTTTCAAAATAAGGGTCATCTTTACTATCTAGAATAGTTTCATTTTGGGAACGAACATGTCCAGTACTGAATAGACAAAATGCCGAAGGCATTTAAAGTTAAAACTTCCTGCAGCTCCTTCCTGGTCTCAGGTTAACAGCCTGCAGGACTTGAAGTGGGGAAAAAGAAGGGAGAAGAGAGCTGGTTCCTTCCTATTTCTCTCCCTAGCATTTCTTCTTATCTGTGCTATTGATTTCTGACTTACCTGCACTGTGCTCAGAGAACATTCTTGAAATAATTTAAATACTGGAAATTTGTTACAACTTCTTTACGGCACATGACAAAGTCAATTTTGGCACATGTTCTTTCTGTACTCAAAATAATATATATTCTACAACTATTAGGTGCTTTGTTCTACATGTCAATTAGGTTGAGTTTCTCAATCATATTGTTCAAATCCTTGACATCCTTTCTACATTTTTGTCTGCTTCTTTCAATTACTAATAAAGACTCTTACTATAATTGTGTGTTTGCCTATTTCTCCTTATACCTCTGCAAATTTTTGCTTTGTATATCTTGAAGCTATGTTGCTAGGTGCATTCATATTTAGAGTTACTCTATCTTCTTAATGAACAGAACCTTATATCATTATGAACCGCTTCTCTTCATCTATGGTAAGTTTGTGCCTTAAAGTCCACTTAATTTAACAATATAGCTACAATAACTTTTTTGTTTTTTAATAGTATATTTTTATTTCATCTTTTTACTCTCAATATTTCTGTATCCTCACATTTTGAGTGCTTGTATTGTAAGCAGGATACAGTTACTTTCTATATTTTTATCCAATCTGACACTCTCTGTTCTTTAATTGGAGTATTTGATTTACATTTAATGTAATTACTGATATATTTGTGTTAAATCCACCTGTATTTATTAGTTTTATACTTGTCCTGTCTCTTTTACATTTTTTTCTCTTTTCTTGTATTCTCCTAGAATGAATTTTGAAAAATTATTCCATTTGTTTCCCCACTATCAGCTTCGTAGCTACACACTCTTTTATTATTGTTTCAGTGGTAAACCCAGAGTTTCTTTATATCATTAAAGTTTAAAATAAATCTAAATCTTTAACTCCATTTACTTCCCTCCAAACTTATATGCCATTGTTATCTTATATTTTAATTTACATATGATACATTCACAAATGTATTGTTATTTTTGTTTTATATAGCCATTTTCTATTTAAGTTCACTCCACATTAATCCTTTTCTTTGCTTTCATTCTGCCTACACCTCTGTCTTCAGAACTAGGATAATTCTCCCGACAAGAAATGTTTGTCTACCCTATTGTCAAGAAGACGTTCCGTTTTTCTCAAGAGCTTTATAGTTTTAACCCTCATATTTAGATCTATGATGTATTATGTGAAGTTCCTTAAGGGTACCCAGATGCTCTAGCACCATTTATTGAATTACATTGGCACTTTTGTAAAAAAATAAATTTCTGGACTCTCTGTTTTGTTCCACTCATCTATTTTTCTACATATAAACCAAAACCAATCACTTTATAGTAAGTCTGAAAATATGGTAGTATTAGTTCTCAACTTTATTCTTCTTTAAGCTTGTTTTGTCTACTCTAGGTCTTTTGTATTTCCATATAAACTATGGAATCTACTTGATAATTTCCCTTGAAAAGTCTGCTGGTATACATATGAATATATACATATATAAAGTGTCCTGGGATGCATATCAATATATTTATGATGTCTATGTCTGTATCTATGGATCTACATCTAGATCCTCCTGAGAGACTGTCCAACTCTATTTTTCATCTTCTCATCCTCTCAGCCATCTCTTCTGTACTTGGTAGACATCTCTAAGAAAAGAGCATCCCCAAATGCTGGATGTGTTTTCTTCTTCTCCCAAATGTTGGCCCTGCACGTCTTCAATGGCTTGTTCACTTTCTCATGTCATTCAGCAGTCATTTTAAAATGTTTTGACCATGCTTTCTAATTGTTCTCAGTGAGAGGATTGGTCAGATTCCTAGTCCACCATCACCATTGCTGGAAGTGGAAATCCCATCTAGGATTTTTACTTTCCTTCTTCCATTCACTGGGCCACCTCTGACTGTTCCAGGGTTGAAGAAGAGATGGACAGACAGCAGAGGTAAGAGGTAGGAAAAGTCACCCTTGACTGACACCAATATAATCTGCTGATACCAGAGTTAAAAACTGTCTCTTTTCCTCTTGAGCACTTGAGTGGAGCTTATCATATTGCACTTCCCTTTGATTCAGGCAATACTCTTCAGTTAATCATGTATGACCCCCTTCTGCATCCTAAGGTCCACTTTACGATGTTTCTGCTGAGTTTGCCTGGCTCCTTACAAGAAGCCTTCTTCAGTGGAAACTCTTCCAAAGCAACTCCAGGATAAAATTCCTACTACAGATTCCACATCTGATCTCTAAAAAACCATTAGTCTTTGACCCACTCTCAAGGGAATACACTTCCTCAGCTCCTCTGCCCTGGAGAGTTTTCACCAGCTTCTGTCCTATGAACTTCCTTTTTTTCATGAATGAATCAAACATAAGTCTCTATGTCTCTTCAACCCAAGGGATATACACAAAGTTCTTCAAGTGGTCTTCAGAAATCCTCTCTCATTATGCTTAAAATGAAGGGAGAGAACCCCCACTTACCCCTTGGCACGGGTGGGCCTCATAGCACTATAATTCTCCTCAGAGAAACCCTCAGTTTCCAGCAACTCCAAGCCACTTCACTTTCCACCATTTTATAGCTGAATGGGGGTGAAGAGCTAAGAAAAGTGAAACTACTTGATACCATCTTTTTTGAAGTTCTCCAAAACAGGATCTACTCATTTTGGAATCCGGGATTAGTCGGCCCCTATTGCTTGAAGTCTTAGACCAATGGAGACATATCAAGTTCCAATTTAATATACAAAGCATGGGGAGAATGAACAAATATAGATTACCTACCCTGTGTAAGTTCCTATTCTAGGTATTTTATACATATCTTCTGATGTATTGCTTACAGCTTTGCGAAGCTACACTAACAGTTGATTGAAAATTCATACTAAATTAACGTGTATTTTTATCCTGCTGTTGGATAGTGGGATTAGGAAATAAACAAATGTAGAAGGAATGTAAAATTAAGAAACATACGGGGCTGGCCCCGTGGCCGAGTGGTTGTTTGTGCGCTCCGCTGCAGGCGGCCCAGTGTTTCGCCGGTTCGGATCCTGGATGCGGACAGGGCACTGCTCATCAAACCACGCTGAGGCAGCGTCCCACATGCCACAACTAGAAGGACACACAATTAAGAATATATAACTGTGTACCGGGGGGTGTTGGGGAGAAAAAGGAAAAATAAAATCTTTAAAAAAAAATTAAGAAACATGGTAAATTTAAAAATTGTGTTTTGCATATTTGACTTAGAAATAGCATATATTTTGAAATTTCTTCAAACTTTTCCTTAAGCTAAAAGTAAATTTTCTGACTGCAATCTAGACTATTGCATAACGGATAAATTACATCAAATCTTATTTGTCTTTGCCTTTATTTCCTGTGTTCACGCAATCACAGTGCCCCCTTTCATTTTTCTTCTCATCTTCATTCCCATGAGCTCACTGGTTTGAGTCCTCATTGCCACATTCTGCATTAACAAAACAACATGTTGGTTGATTTTCCAGCTCCAGTATTATCCTCTTTCAATTGTCACTGAGCACTGCTATAAAACTAATCTTCACAGCATACTGTTTTCATCCTATCATTCTTTAATCCAAAAAATGTACCAAGAAATCCTACTATTAATTATATTTCCTGGGAGGGGTAATTAGGGACAAATTCACTAAATGTTTTTTTTTTTTGAGGAAGATTAGCCCTGAGCTAACTGCTGCCAATCCTCCTCTTTTTGCTAAGGAAGGCTGGCCCTGAGCTAACATCCGTGCCCATCTTCTTCTGCTTTACATGTGGGATGCCTACCACAGCATGGCGTGCCAAGCGGTGCCATGTCCACATCCAGGATCTGAACCGGTGAACCCCGGCATGTGTGCACTTAACCACTGCACCACCAGGCCGGCCCCATCACTAATTCTTGATTAGCCATTTGCAAAAGTTAATGATACCACAGGTAGATATCCAAGAAACATATTATACAGACCAACAAAATATATTCTATTCTTTTTTTTTTTTCCTTTTTTTTTTGGTGAGGAAGAAGATTCACCTTGAGCTAACATCCATTGTTAATCTTCCTCTTTGTCCCTTTTTTTTTTTGCCTGAGGAAGATTAGCCCTGAGCTAACATCTGTGCCAAACTTCCTCTACTTTGTATGTGGGATGACTCCACATCATGGCTGACGAGTGGAGTATGTCCACACCCAGGATACAGACCTGCGAACCCAGCCACCAAATCAGAGTGCATGGAACTTTAACCACTCTGCCATGGGGTTGGCCCCTATTCTTTATTTTCAGCTCAAGTCTTGAGTGTAAGCCCCAGTCTCATTCTATCCTAAGGTAGTTTTGCTTCACGTAGCCTAGACTAACTCAGATCTATATGGTACTTCTCTTGGGCTCTACTCCAGTTCCTTTCTAGTTTTGCAAGAACAGCAATGGTTACTCTGAATAGGAGCCTACCTATAGGCTACCTACAATTCCACAAGAATTCCATGAGACAGAAGCGCAAGAGAAAGATTTGGGGAAAAGGTTCTCAGCTCAGTTCTCTTTACAATTCCTTTACTACCCCCACCAAAAGCTCCAGACCTAGCAGAAGCCTACGTTTCCCTGGAGGTCAGAGCATTCATTAGAACTTGTTGCCTACCAACACAAATTCGCAATTCTCATTGTACTTAGAGCAGACTGTGCCCATCCCAGCATTATTTGCTTGTAATTAAATAACAGAAACACAAGAAAAGTGAAAAGAAATCCAAAAGTCTTCATAAATATCTAGGAAAGGTTTGATTGATTGTTTCACTCATTCATTCAATAAATACCTTGGACTGGAGCATAAGTTTTACCTTTTAATTTTAGCAGAATTGTCTTTCCAATAGGTACAAATTATAGGACCACTTAGAAATAAATGGCACATTGGGTAAGTATCTGGAAAGGTAAGTGTACTAAAGAAAAATCCCTTTAGACAACAATGACTCAATTTGCCTGTTTAATTCATTAATTGATTCATTCATCCAATTTTTTTTTGAGTGCTTATTTTGAATGTCAGGAGGCATTTGGTATGGGAACTTACCATGGAAAAATTTACGGCATCTGCCCTTATGAAGTTAACAACCCAGTAATAGCTGACAGGTCAGGTGATGAAAGGAGTCACATGAAAGAGTGACAGAGGAAAAATAAGACAGCAGCAAGCAAAGAAAGGCATTGCAGAAGAATGTGAAGTTTGAGTTGAACTTTAAAGAATGAACAGACTGGACTAGACGAGAGTAAAGGAAAGGGCATGGGGAAATGTCCTGTAAAAGTATCATAGATGTGTCATAGACAAACAACTAGACTGGAAATTTACATTTTGACCTCAGTAAGATTTCTATTACAGGATATTTTTTTAACTTCAGAGAGAAGTTAGGAAAGAAAAATCCCTCAAATGCCTGACCAATGACCTAAAAAGATGATCTGAAACAGAGTAGACACTCAGAGTAGGGATGACCGAGAAGGAATGGGGTGAATTAAGGATAAAATTCTCCTATTTAAACTGTGATTTGGGACACCTTTCATTACTGCAATAGTATCTTAAGGGCCTCGAAAAAATCCCAACTAAATTCAATTCATACAATAAACATACAATAAACAAGTTTCCTTCCACTAGCACAATCTTTTTTTTTTTTAGCTTGCAGATATACATCATAATATATTTCGAATTCTGTGTAGATTACATCATGTTCCCCACCCAAGAACCAATTACAGTTCATCACCTCAAATGTGAGCCTAATGACCCCTTTTGCTCTCGCCCCTCCTTCCCCTATGGTAACCACCAATCCAATCTCTATTGCCATGTGTTTGTTTGTCATTGTTTTTATCTTCTACTTATGAGTGAGATCATACGGTATTTGACTTTCTCCCTCTGACTTATTTCACTCAGCATAATAGCCTCAAGGTCCATCTATGTGGTCACAAATGGCCAGATTTCATCATTTCTTATGGCTGAGTAGTATTCCATTGTGTATATATACCACATCTTCTTTACCCATTCGTCCCTTGACGGGCACCTAGGTTGCTTAGAAGTCTTGGCACTAGCACAATCTTGTAGATAAGCTAATTCCTTGCATTTGTAGAGACTTAAAAGGTCCTAAGAGTCCCACCTCGCACATGAGAAAGAAAGACCTAGAGAAGTTAATTAAACAAAGTTACACCGGACTTGGTGGCAGGGAAAAGTAAGTGAGATATAATTCAGGGCTGCATCTACCATACCACATTGAATACATCAAAATATTGCATTACGTAGAGCTCCATTAGAACCATTTTCCTTCCACAATCACTGTGTTAAGCTAAACTTTAAATTTTCCCTCCACTATTTATAATGTAAGAACTGCTAGAGCATGTTAGTAGCAATAAATCTTTGAACTGAGATTATTAAAAGCGCATAATTTCATTAGTCAAATAATTTTTTTAAAACTATCTCCGAAGATTTGGAATTTTCCACTTTCCAAGTTCTTACCATGTTCAGATAAGAATGGAAAAACACAGATTAGTTAAAAACTTCTTCAAAGAGATAATGCATTCTCATTCAAAACGTGTAAAGTTGGACTTGTTTCATTTGAAGTTAATTTTTGTTAATTATAGTTCAACAAAGATTTATTGAGGATTTTATATATGTAAGGATTATACCCAATGCTAAGGACAAACGGTGAAAACAAACAGAAGACAGACTATATCTCACTCTTGTGGCAAACACAATCTTGTGAATAATGTGTCTCACAAACACCATTTTCAAAACTATTTATTTCAATCGTGTCTGTTGCCTTTCAATGTTTCAGTAGATTTTACTGAAATTAAATAAGAGGGAGAGTTTCTCTAAGCACAAACAGATGTGTTCTATATCCTTGCCCTCAAGATATTGACCTTTGAATTTTTATTTTATTTATTTATTTTTTTTGAGGAAGACTGGCCCTGAGCTAACATCCATGCCCATCTTCCTCTGCTTTATATGTGGGACACCTGGCACAGCATGGCTTGACAAGTGGTGTGTACGTTCCACACCCAGGATCCGAACCGTTGAATCCTGGGCCACCGAAGCAGAACATGAGAACTTAACTGCTACGCTACTGGGCTGGCCTCGTGACCTCTGAATTTCTGACAATCTGATGGATGTAAATGGTATTGCATTGAGTTTGAAACTTGCATGTACCTGATAACTAAGGAGATGGAGTTTTCCATATATTTATGAGCTGTTTGCATTCCTTTTGTGAAATGTCTATTTGTTTGCCCATATGTTTATTAAGTTGTTGATCTTTTTTCTTTTTCTTTTTTTTTTTCCTGCTGAGGAAGATTCACCTTGAGCTAACATCCATACCAATCTTCCTCTATTTTCTTAGTATGTGGGCTGCCAGTACAGCATGGCTAGTAACAGAGCCTTGTAGGTCTGCGTCTGGGAACCGAAACAGGGCCACCAAAGCAGAGCACGTTGAACTTAACCACTAGGCCTCGGGGCTGGCCCAATCTTATTCTTTCTGATGTTTAGGAATTCTTTATATATTATGGATATTAACCTTTTGTTGTCATTTATATTCTTGCGTATGACATGAAAGGCTGGAAGGCTTGATTTTGCCTGTGTTGCTTAGTGAATCTACTCTCACATATCTTAGCCTAACTCTTCTCACTTTTGCATGCTCAAATCAGAGTTTTTTCCCCCCTCAAAGTTCCTGTCTTGAATTTGCCACCTATCATTAAGGGACATTCATCTTGTTTTTGAAGTCCTAAAAATATTTCAAACATATCATTACATTAGTATATCCCCAGCACTTAGAGGAGTGTCTGACACACAGGGGTTATTTAGTAGCTTAGATGAGTAAATGAATGAATGGCACTAACCGCCCAGGATCTGCATCTCTCAATGTTAGGGCTACTTTATCATTCTTTCATACAACAAATATATGCTTGGTATTTACTTGTAGTAAGTAATTCAGAGACTATAAAGATAAATTTAAAAATGGATTAAAAGCCTTGTGGAGGAACTAACACCTTAGAAATTACTATGCGTGTGATAAGAATGATAGTAGGATGAAATCATTTGTTTGCGTACCTGCTACTTCTCCCTGAAAAGCACCCAGATGAAGATTTCAGCCAAAAAAAACCCTAGAATAAAAGCGTAAAATTTAAATATGAATTAAAAAATCAGAATCAAGTAAATATGAATTAAATTAGTGTGTCAAAATTAGGAACCCAAATATGTAGATCATGAGATCATACATGGTTGCTGTTTCAGATTTGATTTTAAAGTTACTGGCAAACAAAGAAAGGGATATAGCATAAATTTCAGGTCTTTTGTTATCAAAATGGAGAAAGCATAGTGTTTTAGATCATCTTTTCCTAGAACTTAGTTCTAAATACATTTCCCAAGTGGCACTTCATGTTGGAAGCAAGAAATAATGTCTAGAACATGTCCTCCACAGAGCCCTTCACAGGCAGCAAAGAGTTGTGGGACGTACTTTCTTGCGTAGATAATAGGCATGTACAAAGAGTTTTGGGAGAACTTTACTCACTCTGTCAACTTCTGTCCGGGGGGGTAGGGAGGTAAGAGGAATTCCAAAAGGAGGAATGGGTTCAACTGAAGGATAAAAAGGGACAGATCAAGTGCCAAAACCAATTCTATAGACTGAATATGACAGAGTACAGCACAAACTCATGTTTGATGGTGGGAAAACAAAACAAATGTAAGTATAGACAACGGCAAGGATCAGGGTTGGGTGAAAGTCTGAGGTTAAGGAGACCATATGTCAGTTACTGTAACAAGTCACCAGGGCAGCAACTTGTTGCTTCAGGGTTTCTTTTGAAGTCTGTATTTCATGCATTGCCTACACAAGTCTTAAAGATACAGGCTTAGAATATGGAACCTGCTGATTCACGCCCTTCTCCACTCGTCAGGACTAAGCTGACTCGGTCAAAGAGTATTTGAGAAAAGAGGATGGATATTTCTATTCGTTGACTTTCTATTAGGTACCAGACATTTTTCATATATTATGACATTTAATACTTAAAACATTCCTGTAAAGTATAATCTTCATCTTGCAAAAAGGAATTATACATTAATAGCCATTTATTTAAGATTACTGTAAAGAAGTCAAAAGAGTAAAGTGAGGCTCAAAAAGGATAAACTACTTGTCTAAAGTGACCAGCTTGTGACCTGGTGGAGCCAAGGTTCAAAACCAAGTCTTTACCATGTTGAAGCACAACATATGGTTGGATTTTGCATGAATCCATTCTTAATGGTAATCTATACCTGACTTTGTGCCCAAGGTTTTATAACTAAACTTTTACTTTGGACCAGAGTCTGCCTTCTAATAATAGAAACATTATCGCAGGGCCTCATCCTCCTGGGTCTGAGGCTCTACTTCCTTCTTACAAACTGTGCCCCCTTCTCAGAGTCCCACGATCCTGAAAGATTGCCCACTAAGGGAATTAAAGCCTTAGTTCTTGATTTCTGATTTTCCTGCACTAACAAATTGCCAGGCAGCCAGGGTTTTCGAACACAGTACCCCTTAGAGTTCCCTCTCATTATTCACTCCCCATCCATTAGGACCTGGGGTTTGAAACTGTATTGCTGTTTTCCCAAAAAGCTGTGTGCTGATACCATATATTTTGGGCATCACACCTTGCCTGAAAACTGAATTTTTTATTAGTGATTCTAGGAGAAGCACAGTGACTCCCTACCCCATAGTTAGCATGTGCCACAATAATACTCACTCTAAACTTCATATACAAGAAAAACTACTATTTGTAAAATCAAATTTCTATCATCTAAGAAATCTTAAAGAAAACATAGTTTCTTAGACAGTGAAAACTCTTAAGTTAGAACCCAGATTAGTGAGCATTTGATAAATATTATGTAGTGAAGCTGATGAGAGACTCATTATTTTATAGTCAGTCATAATTTCTTTTAATGTAAAATTAAGCCACAATAGGAAAAATATCCATACTCAGCTTTACTATTTAGTATTATGATGTTATATCCTTCAACAACGACCTACCAGCATTTTGGTATATGTCAGATATTTTCTTTCACTCTCCTCACCAGCTTTTTCCTCTCTGTTTCATCATTTCTGATGAATTATATTTTTACATAAAATCTTATCTTAAGAGTAATGTCCCTGGCAGCGCAAACTGGTGCAGCCACTATGGAAAACAGTATGGAGATTCCTCAAAAAATTCAGAATAGAACTACCATATGATCCAGCTATTCCACTGCTGGGTATTTATCCAAAGAAGATGAAAACATGAACGTGTAAAGATACATTCACTCCTATGTTCATTGCAGCATTATTCACAATAGCCAAGACTTGGAAGCAACCAAGGTGCCCATCAAGGGACGAATGGATAAAGATGTGGTATATATACACAATGGAATACTACTCAGGCATGAGAAATGATAAAATCCGGCCATTGGTGACAACATGGATGGATCTTGAGGGTATTATGCTAAGCAAAATAGGTCAGAAGAAGAAAATCAAATACGGTATGATCTCACTCATAAGTAGAAGATAAAAACAACAATCACACAGAGACAGAGATTGGATTGGTGGTTACCAGAGGGGAAGTGGGGAGGGAGGAGGGCAAAAGGAGTGATTAGGCACATGTGTGTATGATGGATTATAATTAGGCTTTGGGTGGTGAACATGATGTAATCTACACAGGAATTAAAATATAATGATGTACACCTGAAATTTATATAATGTTATAAACCAATGTTACTGCAATAAAAAAAATGTAGGTAAATATTATCAGCTGAAGAAGTGACACAGTTGCCTCTCCAGAAGGAGTCTGGGAAGAAGGGAGCAGTAAATTACTGTCTTTAATAACAAACTACTTGACCCTTTATGTGCATGTATACCTTTGGTTAAAAAAAAACCAAAAACAAAAAAACAAAAGAAGATTAATGTCCCATTAGAACAATGACACTTGAGGGAAAATTCCACTTGGTTTACTGTGTTGAGTTCTCTATATACGATAAACTAAGTCATAGGAAATTTGGCGCCTATCAGTTCAGTCAGATAGGTCACATTTACAAATTACGATGCTCTAATCACTTCTGTTTTCGGGACTTTGTTTGAAAGTAAATACGAAACTTAAGGAAGGTTTCTCAGAAAATTTCCATCATTCTAAATTTTCATATAAAGCTGTTAAGATTCTTGGGGATAGTGGTAAGTGATCTGAAAAACAGCTTTCTTTATAGAGGGGCTCAAAACCTTGATTCTCTGTCGCTCAAAACCATCAATGTAAAAAAGTTATAATACCGATTTAACATAGAGACAAGAATATACACTTTAAATAGGAATACAGCTTATGGTTACCAGGTTGTCTTCTCAAACCTTCATGCGTGCCCCTGAAAAATCTAAACCATCTAGGATTGCTAAACTTTGGTCTTTTAACCTAGTATGTCACAAAAGGTGACAACTTTAGTCAAAGGTTCCCCTTTCTCACATTCCTTATAAACTTAGCACTAAATTATGTCACTGGCTAATGTAAAATGTCTAGTATCCACACCGTCCCCAGCTAACTTCTTTCCTCACCCTTAATGTAGGAAGGATGTGGCTTCTGTTTACCTCAGGGCAACTAACATTCCCAAAAAATTAGCATCCGTGTCTTTCATTATTTTAGCATGCAACAGGAATTTTGTTATCACTTCAAGTTTAAGAAAGGCCCCTGGACATCCATATCTTAGTTTGTATTTAGCTCTTTGAAAATGAATGTTACATGATGATTTGTAAAAATGTGATTAAATGCTCATTTAATCAACCTATTTCTAAAGTCCTAGGAAATGCTTACTAGTGAGATAACTAAAAGAATGTAAAACTGACTAATGACTCATTAAAACACACATCATACACACACACATGCTCACACAACACACACACTCTTTTTGTAGTAGAATGATGCCTGAATAAGTGAAAATGTAAACAAGCAGTCATATTGCTTTGCATTTACAATTTAACTTAATGGTACTTTGGTCCTAATTCCCAAACTAATGAGAATTGGCCATATGTATATTTTGCGAGACTCATAAACCCATATAATAACACCACCTTACATTCAAGCGGCATTTCATATAACATTCCCTCATTATCACAATAAACCTAACGAGAAAAGTCTTGTAATCTCATGTATTATCTATGTTTTAGAATTGAGGAAGCTAAGACTCAGACAAATTAATAGATTTACCCAAAGCCATAAAGCTAGAGCGTCAGGAGTGAGACTCATTCCTAGTCTTCCACTCAGAGTCTGGTACTACTCATTCCATAAAGTCTGCCGGATGTATGACAGGTCCTCAAACAACATCATAGAATCTACACATGGTACAGAACTTGAACAAGTGACCAAGAATATGTTTTCATGATTCAGAGAGGAGCTATGCATAGAATAGCAAAGAAAATGAGCATTGGAGTCTATCAGCACTAAATAGAATTCACACCCTATCTCCTAAACTTACCAGCTCTGGGACCTTGGACAAATTATTCAACTTCTCCGTACCACAGAAATTTTATGGAATTATTGTGAGTAATAAAAGTAAAGTACTTGCTCATCACAGGCACTTACCAAACGTTATAAAAAGCGTGAAATGCCCTAGCAGAGGTGAAAAAGTTTGGCTCATCATCAGAATCACCTGTAGAGCTTTGGAAAAACATAGATCTCTGGGTCCCAACCCAAACCTGTAGAATCTGAATCTCTGAAGATAGAGTCTGAGATTCTGTCTTTTTATAAGGCTTCCCAGGCGATTCTGATGATCATCCAGACTTGGAAATCCTTGATTAATTCATAGAATATAAACATTTCTTTCTCTTTTTCTCTTTTTGGCATTAAAATGATGATGGAAGGAAGCCAGGCGAGCCACTTGATAGCAATTTATCACAGGAACACAGTGAAACAGAAATTATCTTTCCCAAGTTAAAAAAAACCCTGATACTTGAAGAATTTATAAATGATGGAGCCAAAACTAGATCTTAAATCTAAATCTTTTCCCTCCACATATCATGTTTCTACATATGCATGTTTGCTGCAACTATGACATATGTTGTCACTGAAGCTGTTTTCAAAGTTAATGTGATTACGGCAATGACGTACTTCTGAACCATAAAATTGTTGATTCTGATTAATGCCACATGAGGTGAATAGAGTGGAAATATACAGCATTGTGTAAATCGTTAGATTTTCTTTTTAAGGACTACAGTTGTTTACTTATTTCTCAAGACGGGGTTTCTGAATATAGATTATTTGACTGAAGTGAGTCATCTCTTTTAACAATATTTAGTATAAAGATGGAATTTTCAAGTAGAAGATTCTACAATTTAACCCTTTGCAATAAAATCATATCTTATATGCAGAAAAAGCTCACTCACACAATCACAAAAATGGGTAGTTGTAAATTTATGCAAAATTCATGTTGCAGAATATCCATCATTTTTGTAGAAAGTTTAACTGTTATGATGAAACATTTGTGATGTTAAGCTTCAATATGATAGTTTAATGGCTACATGGATAGAACTCAGTCATTTATCACTCATTCAGTCATTAGACGTAGAATACCTATTATGTTTAGAATACAATGGTGAATAAAACCATTAAAGTCCTCCTTACGAAGCTTACAGTTTAGTTGGAGAGACGGTTCTTACTCAAATAATCACACAAATAAGTGTAAAAATGCAACTGTCATAGTACCATGACGAAAAGGTACACAGTGCCATGAGGGGTGTGATGGTTAATTTCATGTGTCAACTTGACTGGGCCATGGGCTGCCCAGATATCTGATTAAACATAATTTCTGGGTATGTCTATGAAGGTGTTTTGGGAAGAGATTAACATTGAGATCCACACTGTGGATGGAATAAAGCAGATGATGACTTTCCCCAATGTGAGTGGGCATCATCCAACCCAGTGAGAGCCTGATAAAAACAAAAAAGTGGAGGAAAGTTGGATTTTCAGTCTTTCTGCTTAACTGTTTGAGCCGGAATATCGATTTTCTGTCCTCAGTGCTACTAGTTCTCAAGCCACCACCAGCTTTATTGGGTCTCCAGCAGCTCACGGGACTTCTCAGCCTCCATAATAAAGTGAGCTAATGCCTTATAATAAATCTCTTTAATTATGTATCTTATTGGTTCTGTTTTTCTGGAGAACCCTAATATAAGGAGTTATAATTGGAAGACTTTTATGATAAAGTGACACTAAATGAGGTCTGAAGGATAAATAAAATGCATTAGGTAAAGGGGGGTAGGAATAATACGCCAGGTGAAGGGAAGAGTCTGTGTAAATGCTCAGTTCTAAGAACTGAAAAAAGGTGAGTGTGAGTAACAGAGAGAGGAAGCCGAGGTGAGAAGTAAGTGAGACCAGGTTATAAAAAGCCTTGTAGGCTGTGTGAAGAATTGTTATCATAAAAGCATCCACAAACATTGAAGGGTTTTAAATAGGAGGGTGACGTCATATTTTTATTTGAAAAAAATCATTCTGGCTGCAGGGGGGACTGACCATATAGGAAGGAGATAGAAAGAAGGTATGAGTAAGAGGAGATTATGGCTTGAGCCAGGATAGAGGTGGTGGATATGGAAAAAAATTCCACAAATACAAAAAGATAGTTAGGAAGGAAAATCATAAAAGAAGGCTGTTGTAACTAGACGGATCACACTATAATTCACTCACTAGGGGAACACACACAGGCAGATTTGGTAAAGTGGGTAGGGAGAGGGCAGAAGAGGCTGACAACATGAGTTCCATTTTGGACATGCCAAGTTTGAAGTATCATTGTAACATGTAAGTGAAAAGAGTAGGCCTTTAGATATTCAAGCTCGAAGCTCAGAGAAGTCTGAGCCAGAGATATAAATATTTGAGCCATCTGCATATAACTGAGCCGAGGGAGAGAGCAAAGAAAGGAGAAAAGAAGGCCCAGCATCAAGTGTGGAGGAAGTACAAAATAGGACAGGTGAGGATGAACCTAAAAAGATGAGTGATGAAGAGCAGTCATTAGAGACGGAGGAGAAAAGCCACGCAAATCTTGTGAAAAGTCAAAGAAAAGGACAGTTTAAAAGAAAAAAAGATCAACAGTAACTTGTGCTGCTGAGAAATTAAGTAACATGAGGCCTGAAAAACGTCCAAACTTGTGATATCATTTTACTCAATCTTCCATAATATATGCCTCTTGTCTTTTATCATTTTCAATATGTAAATACATATACTTAATGTCCAAAAATATTCTATGACTTTCATAAACAAGGGCATTTTGGATCCTGAGAGGTATCAACTAAAATAGGAAGCCATGCTTCCAGATTATATTTCGCAAATTAGACAATGAATTGTTACCGGATACCAATAACACATACAGATAATCTTAGAATCATTGACCAGTAAAATGTCTTGTGGGATCAAAAGTATTTTGGAAAGAGATTTCTCAAAATTTCTTAGACATTTATTATCTAAAGGTTAAGTAAGAGGTGTATATCCCCAGTTAGATCATAAAAACAAAACCTATCTATTTTCAATATATAAAACACATATTTAAAAAAAAACAATTAAGGAAGACTAAAAGTAGGAGGACAAGAAATGACATGGCAAGCAAACGCAAAGAAAAAGAAAGTATTGGTCAAGTACTTGTTTGATATTAATATCAAACAAAATTGAATATAAGACAGAAAGCGTTAAATGAAAAAAAGAAGAAAATTTTGTTATTATAGAGATCAAGTAATGAAGATCCACTTGTTGCGAATCTTTACGCATGAAATAGTATTGAAAAATTATAGAGCAAAATTAAAACAAATTTAATACAAGGATGAATACACTGAAAACAGCATTAAGAAACTTTAACTCACCTTACTATATTAGTTTACTAACACTGCTGTAACAAGGTACCACAAATTGGGTGGCTTAAATGAGAGAAATTTATCATCTCATGACTCTGGAGGCTAAAAGTGTGAAAGCAAGGTATCAGCCGGTTGGTTCCTTCTTAAGGCTATAAGGGTGAATCTGTTCCATGCCGCTCTTAGTTTCTGGTGGTTTGTCAGCAATCTGTGGTGTTCCTTGGCTTGGAGCAGCATAACCGCAATCTTCAAACGGTGTTCTCCCTGTGTCTCTAGCTCTGTGTCTAAATTTCCCCTTTTTGTAAGATAATAGTCATGCTGAATTTAGGGCCTCTTCTTAACTTGACAGTCTGCAAAGACCCCATTTCCAAATAAGGTCACATACACAGGAACTGGAGGTTAGAACTTCAACATCTTTTGGGGGAGGCACAATTCAACTCATAACACTCACTCAATCTATAATAGATAGGCTAAAAACATATAGACACTATCTAATGTAACTAAATAACAAAAATAAATACAAAATGTGACTCTTTCAAGTGGTAATGGGACATTTATAAGAATTGACAAAAACTGAAGAAAAATGAAAACATATGCCCATAACTAGATTTGTATAAGAATGTTTATAGCTGACAATAGTAGTCTCCTCAAACTGGAAATCTCCACGTGTGCAACAATAGAAGAATGGATAAAAAAACTGGTATATTCTTACAACGGAACACTTCACAGCAATAAAAACGAAGGAATTACTGATACACACAATAATGCGAATGAATCTCCAAAACACACTCAAGTAAAGAAGACATATATAAAAGAGTATATACTGTTTAATTTCTTTTAGAGAACAGGCAAACTAAACTATGATGAACAAGTATCAGAATAATGGATCCTTCTAAGGATGGAACGAGGAGATTGATTGGGAAGGGGCATGAGAGAACTTTCCAAGGCGATGGGAACTACTTATCACACATTCTCTAATCCCAATGTAATAAAATTTAAAAGTAATAATATAAACAGCACATAAAAATTTCAACCCACTAAAAAATATACAAATAAGAAAAAAAACTCTCCAAATCAAAATTGCAAATACCTAGAAAGTAACAATAATGTAAATATTACATATAAAAACGCTTGGAAAACAAGAAAAATCAAAAACAAATTCAATCCAAGTTAGAAAAAGACTATAAATAGCAAAAAAGAAAAAAGAAAAAAAAAAGAAAAGCAGAAGGAAGAAATCAGCATGTCAGGAAATAACCAGATAAGAGTGGGGAGAAAACAAATTAAATAATAGATGAACCCATGATCTACTTTTATAAATAAACAAACAAAAACTAGCCAACCTACCACTAGTTAGCATAGCCAATGAAAGGAAAAATCCCCCAAACAATAACGAAAAATGTAAATAAGAAAAAATAACCACAACTATATATTAGAAATTGCGATAAAAATTAAATACTTCGCTCCAGTCTATTCAAAAACATTTGACTATCTGAATTTTAAACATCTGTTGTCTTGCAAAAATTTAAACTCCATTTGTGAAATCAAAAGAAGTAGGGAATTCAGACGGATTTTACTGGAAGAAAATGAGCAAGTGGTAAAAAAAGACCTACTTCCTAAAACGGTACCAGATCTACACAGTTTCACAGATAAATTGTACCAGTTTACCCAAGTAAATAATTTCAGTCATATTTACTTATTCCAGAGCCTGTAGAGAGAAAATAGCCATCCTATTCCTCGTGGGCAGCCGACCTCTAGTTTTGTCAGTCAACATGGAACCCATGGCAGTGACCGAGGAATTCACTTCCCAAGCCTGCGCTTCCGCTCTAGAAACCGGAAATGCGCCACACTCGCTTTCCTAGTCTTGTTTGCAGCTAGAACGAGGCACCAAACCTGGGTTCCGCCCATCAGTTGTACCCAGTGTGGACTGTGAGTCAGCCAGCGACTCAAGCATCAGAGCCCGTGTCAAATAAAATCTGACAACAGGCAGCAGAATGGAAGTCCTTTGTGGTTTCTAGAGACAACAGTGGCAGCACATTTGGTGGAGCCGTCGTGAGTCCCAGGTTCATCGCATGGGCCGTTCAAGGCACAACGTCTGGCACTCAGCAGTGGCGGAAGTGCTGCCCTCTTCTCCAAGCCGTCCTGGAGTGGGTCTTCGGGGCATCGCTCCTGGCTGTGTAGCCTCCTAGTCGCCTTTTCAGTATTCTCAGAGATCCTCTGTGCCTCCCAAATGCTTTCAGGAAGCCATTATCTACTACTGTTGGTCAGAGTAAGTTTGTTTCTATCAGTTGGGAATCCAGACTGACACGCAATAAAACATTAACAAAAGCTGACAGAGATATCTCTTAAAAGTGTAGATCCATTTCACATATAAGTATCAATGGTAGTGTAAAAATCATTTAGTAGAATCCAGCGTCTTACAAAAAGCATAATTCACCATGACTCAGAGGGGTTTTCCCAGAGAAGGTTTTTCACTAGTAGGAAATCTTCCATGGTAATTAATGTAATTAAAAGGTCAAAGGAAATAAGCCATTTAATCACCATGATAGATGCCAAAAAGACATGTGATAAAATGAAACATCCATTACTGATTTAAAATAAAATCTTCATAAAACTGGAAGGATAGCTGTTTTAACATAATAAAATATTTTTTTCAAACTCAAATTGCATCATATCTAATAGGGAAATTATATTCATACTCTTACTAACATCAAGAACAAGATAAGCATGTCCACTATCTTAACTGTTACCATAATTTTTGAAGAACTGGACAAAGTAATTAGAAAAAGGAAGAAGAGTCAGAAGAATTGGAGAGGAAATGTCCTTCATTTCAGATGGTATGATTGCTTGTATATCTGTAAACTCCAGGGTATCAACTGATATTCAATTGTAAATAAAAAAATAATTAAGCTAACTAGATACAAATTAATTATACAAGTATCAACATCAATGGCTATTCTACAACTTTTCTTACAACTCCTTAGAAAAATTTAGTAAAGAGAAGATTTGATTTACAATAGCAAAAACAACAAAAACATATAGGAATAAACTTACACGTATAAGAATTATGTGATGAAAACTATAGCCAAAGAGACGTTGAATAAAGTTGAATAAATAGCAATACATACATTTTTTTTAAAAGAAGGTTCAGTGTTATAGTTGTGTTTATTTTATCTAAGTTATTGTATAAATTCAACACGCAAAGCTCTTACTTAGCAGCCCACACTCCCAGCCTCTGAGGAAATGAGTTCCTGGGTCCTGAAGGGGGATCCAGGCAGAGTTCTACAGCATCTACAGCAGACAGCAAGAGTGCCTTGGAAGTGCATTGGAAGAGGCTTGGAAGAGCCTTGGTTCATGGCACAGATGAACAAAGGCAGAAACATTCTTTTCCAAACATTTAGCTTTTGTCATTTGAGTCTGTTCAGTGGTCTCACACTTGCATTTATTCACTGCTGTTATCCCCACAGGTGCAAACATAGACCAATCCCTTAGACTCAACAGATGACCAGTTAGAAGATGTTGAATGAATGAATAGATAAATATGACAGAATCAAATTTTAATTTCCTTGAAATATAAAGAATTATTTCAACCAATTGGCCAATATCTACCAACATTTTTAATATGTGTCCTTTGGCTTTCTAATTACATATCTAGGAATTTTTCCTACAGTTGTATTCACAGAGACAAGCAAAATATGTGATAGAATAATACTTGCAGCATTATTTATAATATTAAAACACTAGAAACAATATAAAGTCTATAAATACGGAACTGATAAAAAACGCATCACAGGTCAATACAATGGACTCCCATGCAGCTATTCAAAAGGAGGCGCAAGATGTGCTGGTCAGGAACTATCTCCCAGGCACATTTTGTAGTGATAAAAGTATGGTACAAAACGGTGACTATTGTGTTCTCACATTCGACAGAAATAAAAAGCATACAAATAAAAATGAATACGAATATAATAAAAACTGAGGATCTCCTACTAAATTTCTGTTGTTCTGTCAAAAATATTTCTCATGTTTTAAACCTCATCTTACTAAAAGGGTTTCTCACCCTCCCCCCCACCAAATGCTGTCAGTCATTACATCATATTTACCTAGAGTCTACATTTGTAATAATCACTGTTGGTTTTCGGCAGTCTTTAAATTTATTACTTCTCTAGTTTTGACTTTACAAGTTAATAAATGAAAGTCTCAGTAATTCACGTTATGTATAGTCTATGCTATGTAGTTTTTCTTAATTTACAAACATTTTCAAATGCAGTCTTTTATTTTCTAATTTGATTATTTACTCCTACTAGGGAAAGCATCCTAGAAAATTCTAAAGTTGAAATAAACCTTAGAAAGCATTTTAGATATGAGGAAACTCAGGCCTGTAGAGATGAAAAGCATTACTGAAGATTTGGGGCTAGTGAGTATCTCGGGCTGCTGGAATGCCAGTCAGCTGCTCTGTCACGTACAAAACAACCTTCTTTCAGGTAGATTTCATCTGGCATGAGTTTCTTGACCATGTGAAATAGCTAAAGATAAATTGTGAGTTGGTGAGAAGACAGAGATTGATCATCAAGCATAAATTTATTTCCAGAGAGAATACGGCCAAAGTAATCATCCATGATGTACTTTATACCTGGGCTAACTAGGGTGACTTCCAGTGTAGATCTGTATAATATAAACCTCCTGAGGAAAATTAAGACAATTTTTCTAGTCGGACTCTATTAAATAAATTCTTGTTTAAATGGTCCTCGACTTTCTTTCTTAAAAGAGTGTATATTTCTGTTTAAATAGAATGTTTGAAAAATACATCTGTAAAGCTTTCTCTAAAAACAAAATCTATCAGGGCCCAAGGCTTATTTTACAATCTTCAAGAAGCAGCTTTTTTCCTTTTCTCTTAGCACAGTGGTGAAAGAGCACAGATGCTGGTATCAGACTGCCCTGGTTCAAATTCCCATCCTGCCGCTTAATAGGTGTGTGACCTTGAACGAATGAGGTGGTCTCTCTGAGCTCAGTGTCATTATCTGTAAAGCGTGTGTCATAATAATACTACTTATCTCCGAGTTGTTTTAGAAATTAAATGCGTTAATATGAAGACGCTTATAATAGAACCAGTTATATAGTAAATGGATATGAGAGTTAGCTGTTATTCTGCAGAGATGCGGCTCTTGAAGTTCTGCAATAATAGGAGAGGTCTCTAGTGGTTCAGATGCATCCCGCTTCCTTCCTTCTTCAGTAAAGATTTATCCAGCACCTACTTGGTTCGATACACTTACCCTCCTGGGGACAAACGTATTTCTGTGTGAGGATAACCAATTTTGCAGTCTTCTTCATGTCCAACCTATTTGTATTCTTTACCACTACTGAGTGCCCTTAGTAGGGTATGGACTGAATTAATTTTTCTAGTGCCTGTGATAAAATTGCTCAGCACCATTTAGCTTCTCTTTCTCGCCCACAACTGTGAATTTGTGAAATGGCAAACTTGGATTAGATGTGTAATTCCTGAATAAGGAGGAAAGAAAATCCAAGACCACTACATTTCTCACTCCACAATTTTATCCTCTTTGATCCTATTACCCAAACTAAATTCTAAAACACAGAAATTAAAATATTTTAAAAGAAATCAGAAAAATTCACATGCACTGGTTTATTTTTTCATGTGGCCTTCCCGCAAAGTTGATTTACTGTGAAGACAATGGGTTTTAAGCTTCAGTGCCCCTCACTGGCATCAGCTCTTTTCGAGGTGCTGGGAGAAGCCCCAGCCTTGCAGAGCTTGGCTGTTGTCCATTCAAAAAATAGTTAAGATTAGCCCTTGCACGAGAAAATTTGACATTCTCTGAAACCTCACTACTCATTACGAAAGAAATGTGATATTTCCTCATAATTGATAACAATTCTAAAATATTTACTTGACATTACCCATCATGAGCATATACACTTGGGTATTTAATGTGGAGAGAGAAGATTTCCTATGGGAAAGTCTGATGTGATCCCAAAATTAGTATTACATAATATGAATTTCCTTGAATCTCTGGGAGACTCTAAACGGAAGTATTGGAAGCCACTTTTTAAAATGGTTGCACCCGCTACACAGTCCCATGAATGCAGAGAGATGCTGAACACTAAGGATCTTAGAGCGCACATGTACAGTGCCTCACCCAGGGCTTGCAGACAGAAAGAGTGAAATAGATTTCATCTTTGATGAATATTGACATCTAAATACATACAAATATAAAAACATCAAAGATTTACAGAGCGTTGTGTGCTAGGCGCTGTTCTCAGTCTTTCATGTATATTACTGTATTTTTATTCCCACTGACAGAAGAGAAAACTAAGGGAAAAAGAAGTTTAGTGTTTTTTCAAAGGCCAGACAGCAAGAAATTAGTGGAACCTAAATCCGGAGCCCATATTTTAATCATATAGGATCCTACTGCTAGGTAATTTACTTTGTATAGTTGGAAAACAAATATGTGAATAATTAAATCTCAGCTTTGTAATTCACTAGCTGTGTGGCTTTGGTCCCCTCTGAGGTCCAGTGTTATTATCTAGAAAATAAACTTTAAAGTGTGCATCAAGCAGGGCTGTCGTGAAGGTTAAATTACAATCTATACTATACTTCACCTCAAATAGATGTTCAGTAAATGCTGTGATTGAATGAATAATTACACAAGTGTTCATGAAAGCACTACAATTCTGACTTATTTCTTTAAATTATTTTAAATTACAGGAACATAATAGACATTTGTTACTGGATATTTTCCTCTATCAACAATTATTGGCCTAGAGAAGAGTGACAACTTCATGGTAATAATGTTTAAGCGTT